CCGTTGTGGCCGTTGGTCGAGTCGTCAGTGTGTGTGTGTGTGTGTGTGTGTGTGTGTGTAGGGAGGGAGGAAATGGTATATTAAGCTAAGGCAAAGTCCGGAACTAGTAAGTCTGAGAGAGTAAAAGGGAAAACAGTCAAAGAGCCAAGTGGCTATCCTCATTAAGGGCACCAAAGAATTGGTTCCATGTATAACAAAGATGCCCACACCTTTTCTGACATGGCTAGTGAACACCCTTCTCAGGAGACAAAAGGGGTACACTGGCTGCCAGAAGTTTCCTGTAGAGGGGACATTCTCCTGCTTGTTGTGACTTCGTAGAAAAAGAAGCTGGAAGGGCAGGGGGTAGTCCAGGTGCAGAGGTGCACTTGTGTTTGGTGACAGAGAGGTGGGTGAATATGGGTTCAAAGATGTGCCTTTCTGGAGATGAGGGCCCTTAACCACTCTTATTTTTGGCCACAAGGTTTCCAAAATTTAAAAACCAGAACATTAGTTTAAATGGCTGAAGAAAATCAGTCCATTAGTTGACCTACATGCTGAGATCTATAGGCTGGCCTTAGTTGTGTAATGTTTGCCTCTACCTAGTTTTTCCCTGTATAGTTTAGGATTACAATTTAACCAACCCACTTCCTGACCCAGAATCCCAAAATGATTACAGTATAGTTTCCTATATAATTTTACAACAGAGAGAGACCATATATCCATAAAGTACGGGAAACACTTATAAATGTTTCACAGACAAAAAGGAAGAGATACTCCAAAAGTTTTGTTTTTAAGTATCAAATTCTTACTCTCCAGTCAGATTCTGAAGTTTCCTCTTCATATGATGCCACAGGTAGAAAGGGTAACTGAAAGGGTAAAGGAGGCCTGGCTGACCATTTACCCCAACAGGTGTGCTCAAGGGCAGTGCATCCACTGGGCCCCCATATTTGTGTCAGCACAGAGAGCAGCCAGACAGTTACACTACATGAAGTCACAGGAGTCTGATGTATAATCCAGAATAACAATGTATTAATTTATAATAAAAATATAAATAAGAAGTAGCTTGGATCTCATTACATAGGAAGCTAAGCTATAATGTGAAACTAGCTTGCCCACCTGAAATCAGAGAAAGGGAGAGGGGAGTTAAGTGAATTACTATGATGACTAAAGGCCTAATTAATTAGCATTATAGTCATGCCAAGTGGACTGAACTCTATTTGGTTTTTTGAATTTAAAAAGTAAAACTTGACTCTGTTTTAGTTTTAAGTCACACACACACAAAATGATGGGCTTAAAAAAAAGCTTCTGTCTTTGTAACCAGTACCCCGGATTAGCTGCAAGCTTGGTATCTGCTGCCCTTCAGAGGTGGCTTGGCCCCAGGAGTTTAGGACTTAAAAAGGATAATACGGGCTTAGCAAAGGAGAAATAGCTAGCATGCAGAAGTCCCCTTAAAGAGGCAGAGCCCTATGTGGGTGGAGGGCAGGGCCAGGTGGTAGGTGAGCTGATGGATCTGGAATCAAGTAGAAGACAGTCACAGGAGTCATCTGTAACCTAGCCTCAAGGTCAAGAACCTGTACAGTGTACAGGGGTGGAAAGACACATAAGGATCACCTAGTTCAACCTCTCACTTTAGGAATGACTTGATCAAAAGCATAAAATCAGTCTGTGGCCCAGCTGGGACTAGCCTTCAGTTCAATTCTCTGATATTACATTGCACTGCTTCTTTCCTATTTCATATCAGGATCTGGAAGCCGAAATCCAGGATCTCCAATGAAGCTTTAAAGAAGAGCGAGCCCAAAGGAAAATAGGGAGGGTCTAGGGGAGACATGTGAGGGCAATATGACTCAAAGTGGTGGCCCTGAGAGCTGGCCCCACTAAAAGATCTCCATGGCCTCTAGATTCAGCCAACAACAGAACCAAGTCACTTAATCCTTTGAACTTGGCTTTTCTCATAAATAAAACATATCTGAAAATAATTATACCTACTTCAGAGTTACCAGGCAGATAAAATGAAATAACACGTGTAAAAGAACATCAAATGAATATTGGTACTTTTTCCTGCTTACTGTGAGCAAGAAGCAACTGTGTATTACTTGAATTTTTTAACATTTGCATGCTAATGCCCAGAAAATAGGAAAGAAGGAGGAGAGAGTACGATTTGAAAGAGAACAGGCTTACACACAGAGAACATCTTGTTTTGTGAAATGAATTGAGTAATCACATTTTTTCCACATGGTATCACTTGCTTCTTAGCCTGGACACTGAGACGGCCCAAATTCTGCTATTACTGAATATATTATAGACTACCAGGGTACGAAGTGGGGGAGGAGGAAGTTGTTGGAGAGAACATGTGGCTGCTGGCACGATGAACAAAGGACCTGGTCTGGAAATGCCAACTGGAAGAACTTTCTACCTTCTGAGCCTGGTCCTTCTAGTCATCTGTTAAAAGTCTAAGATCTCCAGAGACACACTGAAAAGGGGGGAAAGAGCCAGCAAACACCTCTGGAAGCATCAACCACATGGTGCATCATATTTCTTGTCAGCATGGTGTGCAGTCAGAAAAAATGCATGTCCAGCTATTTCTGGACACAAAGACTTTCAGCTCCTCTGGCTTTTGAGAACTGCCTAATTGCTCCAGGAGGTACATCAGTCAAAATAATGGGGTTCTCTAGGCAAGAAAATAATAAAATCAACCCACTAACTGAATATAGCTTGGAGTACCAAGGCTCACCTTGTTTCAGTCTCAAGTAAACAAAAATGACTCCACTATCACATCCAAGGCACTTCTCTTGCTACTTCCACAAAAATATTATCTCACAGAGTCTGCAGAGGGAGAGATTTCTCACACTAACCTCAGGGCATTTGTTTCTTGAAGCATATAGAGGAGTAGCACTTTCCTGAAGCAAGAAGTCTGTCCCTCCTCTCCCCCACAACAGCCCCATCTCAAGTTCTCTCCACTCAGTGCCACCAGCCTAATCCAAGCAACCCTCATCTCTTCCTTGTCCACAGTCACCACACATTCTCATAAAGCACAACCCATTCTCCATAAAGCAGCCCAACTGATGTTTCAAATACAGCTTTACTGACATAAAATTCACATACCATAAAATTCACCTTTTTAAGGGTACAATTCAGTGTTTTTAGTAGACTTAGAGGTGTGCAAACACCATCTCTGACTTTAGAACATATTCATCATCCCCAAAAGAAAACTCGTACCAATTAGCAGTGACTTCCCATTTCCCCTACCCACCCCGCCCAAGCCCCTAGAAACCACTAATCTACTACGTTATGGTGTGAATCAGTACTTCATTCTTCTTTATTGCCAAGTATTTCATACGGATAATAACATGTTTTATTTATCTATTCATCAGATGAACATTTGGGCTATTTCAACTTTTTGGCTATTACGAATAATGCTGCCATGAACATTCATGATACAGTTTAGTGTGGACATATGTTTTCCATTCTCTTGGGTATAAATCCACAAGTGGAATTGCTGGCTATGTTTAACATTTTCAGTAACTTCCACACTATTTCCAAAGTGGCTGCAGCATTTTACAATCTCACCAGCAGTGTGTGAGATTTCCAATTCCTCTACGTTCTCGTCAAAACTTGTTATTATCTGTCTTTTGATTATATCCATACCCATGGGTGTAAAGTGGTATCTCACTGTGGCTTTGATTTGCATTTCTCTAATGACTAATAATGCTGAGCATCTTTTCAAGTGCTTATTGGCCTTGTGTATATTTTCTTTGGAGAAGTGTCCATTCATACCCTTTGCCCATCTGTTAAACATGGTTATTTTTCTTTTTTATTGCTGAGTCATAAGTGTTCTTTTGTATTCTTGGATATAAATGCAAGTGATTTTTAAAAGAAATCAGATTTTGTTACTTCCCTACATAGTACCCTCTAATGATTCCCTACTATGTTTAGAATAAAACCTAAATTCTCACTCTGGTTTACAAGGTCCTACGCAATTTTGCCACTTTCCACCTCACACAGTGCACTGCAGTCAGAGGAGTATTCTTTCTGCTCCTGAAACATAAGAAGTTCATTTATGTCTCAGTACCACTGTGTGTATGTCCCATTTGCCTGCTTGGAATTCTCTTTTCTTGGGTGGCTTCTTGTCATCAAATTCAAATATCACCTTTTCAGACAATTTTTCCCCAAAAGAAATTTTATCTAAAGAAGCTCCCCCTCCATAAAGAGGAACAAGGAAACCTTTGGGGATGATGGGGATGTTCATTACCTTGATTATGGTGATGATTTCATAGATGTACACACATGTCAAAACTTTTCTAGTGGTATACTTTAAATACGTACCATTTATTTCACTTCGATTATATTCAATAAAGCTTAAACAAATAACTCCCTTCACAATCACAACTTCACTGTCACTATCTTATATTTTATTTTCTTAGGAGAAACTGTCTATCTGAAATTACCTTGTTTATTTCTTGATTTAAATGTTTACCAATGATCTCATCCCTCTAGAACAGAAGTGCCATGAGGGCAGCTGATGAGTACTTTTCATCTTTGTAACTGCCCTATCCTCAGCTTGGCTCACAATTAAGTACTCAGTAAGTATTTGACTAATTGAATGCATGAATGTGACCAAGGTTTAGAAAAGAAACCCACAGGCAATAGGAAGGGTGACTTTCTATTCCCTCAGATTCACCAGCACTTTTAGGCTTGAGGGAATGAGATTCTTATTATTTATTTTCTTTATTAAGAGCTATCTCAAACTTTATCCTGGATGACCTCCAATATCATCATCATTAGAAACAGCACAGACTGTTCAATTACTCTGCAGCACTATTCCAGTACTTTATATAGGCTCTCCCACTAGTAGTGGTGATTTTAATAAAAATAGTATAATAAATAATAGTATGGCATATTGTAATATATTAAATGTAATTATAATAAAGATATTTTATAATAACTATAATAATACCAGCAGTAATACAATAATAAAAACATTTGTTTAGCATTTGGTATTTGCCAGATATCCATAAGCATTTTACCCATGTAATCTCATTTATTCCTCACAATAACTTTATGAAGTAGGTATTCTTTTACAGAAGAGGAATTTTGAGATTCAGAGAGGTGAACTAACTGCCCAAAGCCACACAGCTGGTAAAAAGTAGAGCTGGACCTCAAACCTAACTTCAAAGCTGATGCTTCTTCCGTTTTGTTACATTGCTTGTTAAGTATTTTTATACAATACAATGTTATTCCAGCTCATCTATAAGGCTCCTAAGACCTGAGGAAGATGTGCAGCACGTTAAGAATGATGCTACTCAAAAACTCTGAAACAGGCTAGGAATAAAACTAAGAAAGATGAGAAGCCAGTTGCCTGAGAATAAACCAGGATATTCAGAGCAAGGAATTTTTACTTTATCCCAAACTCCATGTCTAGGTTCATGTGACATTTACTTCTTACTGCTTCTGATTACTCTCGCATAGACCTTGGTTTTTACCTAAGTTGCTGGCCCTTGCTCCGCCTTTGCCTGCAAGTGAGGTTTATTGGTAAAGGTATGCTGACCATGAAAGACCTCGTAGTCTCCCTTACCAACTTGGGTCTCAACTTCAAGAGCTCACAGATGGGACCTTTACCTTTAGTGCCAGGCGGCTGCAGGTTGTCTCCAGTCAAGGAACACCAGCCCACAGGGAAGATGTCCCGGGAGTCGAAACGGCACCAGTAGTCAAAGGCCCCTCGCCACCCATCAAAAGTGACAAGCACCTCTGAGCCCCGCACCTCCCCAATAGTGGCTGGGCAAATGAAATGAGGGTTCTTCCTGTCCACAGCTTCTAGCTTCATTCCCATTTTGAAGAAGTTGTGGGAAGGCGATGGTGGTTCCTAGATGAGAAACATAAATACACAGACCTAGACGCAAAGAGAGAGGCTATGTATGCCAAAAGACTGCTACCTAATTTGGATGATTAAAAAGTGACTGCTGTGGAAGATTTATAATATAGCTTTAATATTCTTTTAAATAAATTTCAAAGTATACCAAAGTATTACACTTTGTTAATTCTAATACTTTGACAACTTTGCTTCAGATCTTTTTTTTTAAAGAAAAAAAAATATAACAGATAAGGTTGAATCCCCCTTTGTTTCCTTCCTCATGCATGTTTATATACTTTACTACATATGTACATACCATTTGCATGCTTTTAAATTTATATAAATATGATTATACTGAACATATCATTCTACAGTTTGCCTTTTTTGTTCAACATTATGTTTTTGAAACATATCCATGTTGATAAATTTAGCTCCAGTTTAACTGCTAATACATATAAACTCCATTATATGTATATATCATAATTTATTCATTCTCTTTTGACAGACATTAAAGTTGTTTTGAATTGTTTACTATTTCAAAAGAGTGTGAATAGCCATTCTTGCACTTGTTCCTCTGTAAACATGTAGGAGGATTTCTTTAGGGTGTATACCTAGGAGTAGAATTGCTGGGTTATAGGATAGATATATACACTTTCCACTTTATTAAATATCTGTAAATTGACCTCCAAAGCAGTTGTAACATGGTATACTCTCTCCAGTAGTGTAGATAGTTCTTGGGTGCTGGTCTGCAATGCAGTTGCATAGATAAAGTTTCCAAAAAAGTGTTTCACACTCTCCCTGGTCTTACTGTCTGATCCTGTACCAACAACCTAGTCTTATTAAACGGATATACGGCAGAAAAAGTTCCCTTGTTTTGTTACTCTTCAATACTGTTTTGGCTATTCTTCCTCCTTGATCTTTCTTATGAATTTTAGAATCAGCTTTTCAAGTTCCACAGAAAAACCCTATTTGTATTTTGACTGAAATCCCAATGGATTTATAATTTGGGAAAAAATAACCTTTGTATGTATGATATTGAGCCTTTCTATCCATGAATATGATAGTATTTTCCATTTGTTAAGTATTCTTTAATGTAGATTTCTTCTATATAAATTTTAACATTTCCCCTACAAATATTTTATGCTTTTTACTAATATTTTTCCATGCATATTATAACTGAATTGTTATCTTAAAGAGTATCTTTAAAATTTGCATTTTCAAATCACTTGTTGCTGTTAAATAGGAATGCAACTGATTTAATACTGAGTAGCTTATGCTGATTGATAAATCAGTTTTCTGTCTGCTTGATTTATCAGTTATTGAGCAATGTGTATTAAAATATCCTCTAGTGGTTGTAGATTTTCCAATTTTTCCATGTAATTCTGTCAAATTTTACTTTATCTACTTTGTGGCTATGTTTTTTAGGAGCATGTATATTTATAACTTTTATTTCCTTGGTGAACTACACTTTCTTATCATTAGATTGTGACCTCTTTAACACTTTTTAGCATCAAAGTATTCTTTGTCTAATTTCAGTATAGTCAACTCCAGCTTTATTTTGATAAAGGTTTGCCTGGTATATGTTTTATATTTTACTTCTGACATCTTTGTGTCATTTTAAGCAGTGTCTCTTGTAAGTAGCATATAGATAGATTTAGAAACAATCTAATCTATGTCTGACTAAACTGATAAGTTTAAGCTAATTTCTTGTGATAACCGATGTATTTAAACGTATTACAATAATCATATTGCCTACATTTCTATTTGACTTGATTTTTCAAGTTGTACTTTTAATTTCTTTTTTCTCCTTAACAACTAACTGAATTTTCTTCCTTCTCCCCTCTTCTGATGCTAACCATTATATAGTCTGTTAGTTGAGTCCCTTAAGATCATAGCTGTATAGTTAACATAATTAAGTCTAAAACTCATCTTTCTCTCTAATCCTAAACAATACCAGAGCCTTAGAATATTTAAACTACTCCTGAGTTAACAGGTATTTGATAATTTAGTTCCACATTATTATGCTGCCAAATGATCACTTTTGTTATCATAACTTATTTTTATAAGCAATGATGGATTAGTTTTATTCACATGTTAACCAATCTTTCTTCAGCACTACTTTTTGAATCTCATTCTTACTTTCTATGTTCAGTTATCGTCTTCCTGAAATGTACTCTTCAATTGTTCTTTCAGCAGATATATTAGTATCTGCTGTATTTGTTTGAAAATGTCTTGACTTTACATCCATTTTGAAATAACAGTATAACTAGATATAAAATTCTAGGTAGACAACTATTTTTTCTTAGTACTTTGAAGATATTATTCTATTATCTTTTGGCTTGTACTGCTGCAAGAAATGTGCTGTCAATTTATCCTTTCCCACTCTCCTTACACCAGAAACTGACCCAACATTATAAACTGACTATATTTCAATTAAAAAAAAAAAGAAATGTGTTGTCAGTGTAACTGTAATCCTTTTGAAGATTCAGTCTGCATGGATGTGGAAGCTGTGGATATGGATGGCTGATTCTACTATGCCATTTTATATAAGGGAGTTGAACACGTGTGGATTTTGGTATCCAGGGGGCCCTGGAACCAGTCCCCCACAGGTACTGAGGATGACTGCATTACATGGTTACTTGCTCAGACCTCTTTTTTTGACTTTAGTTATACCATGATGTTTTAAGCATATATTTGTCTTTATTACACTGTGGAAAATTCTGTCATTATCTTTTCAAATATTGATTCTTTTTTATTCTTTCTAATTAATCTTTCTGGATTTCATGTTCAGTATATATTGGACCTTCAAAAACTATTCTCTCTTTGCCTCTTCTCTTTTAATATTTTCCGTCTTTTTTATGTCTCTGTGCTGCATTCTGGGGAAATTTATTACACATGTCTTTCAGTTAATTCTTCTCTATCTAGGTCTAAGTTGCTTATACATTTAGCAAATAATTTAAAATTTAATGGTTAAGTTTCATTTCGAGATGTTCAATTGGCTATTTTTCAAATTTGTCTTTTAAAAAATAGAGGTCTGTACTTTTCACATTTAAAAATTCCTTCTTTCATTCTTTAATCATTTTCAAATACTTAATTTATAATTTCTATCTGATATTTCTATTATCTGAAAGTCCTTGAGGTTATAATCTGTTTATTGTGTCCACTGATGTCTCATCATGCTGGATTTGTTTAGTGAGTTTTGAGGGCTCTGTAATTCTAAACTGAACTGAACTAATCTTCAGTGGTACTTCATTTTGGGGACTTCTATGACATCTGGGTTGAAAACAACCAAACCCTCTAAAGAGGTTTTGGGTTTGCTTCTGCCAGGCACTCAGAAATATCCTCATACAACTTTGGAGTTCCTAGACAACACAGGCTCTGTCTCTAAACCCTCGACTTCGTGGGAAAAGACTGTTTTATCAAAAGAGATGACTCAATTACTACCCTTACCTGGAGCCCAGGCAAAGACTCTTTCTCACCAATGCGGCAGTCTTTTCATTTAAGGAGTAAACATTTGAGGCACCCAATCTGATTTTTTATGTGGCACCCCCAGGTCTATTTTTCTGCCATGCATGGGTCCAAGGCCTCATCTTCTATCCTACTGTGGCTGTTAAAAGACAAGGTCCTTGAAAGTGAAACTGGCAAAGCCCCTTAAGATGCCTACAGGTTCATTACACCTAACACTCTGGTTTTCCTTCTTCGTCTTCTTACTTTCTAGTAAACTCAGCAAAGCATTTGGAAGAAAATTTGTTGGTCTCCCGCCCTCCACCATTTTGACGTATTCTGCAGTGGAAGGGTGGCGAGTTGCCCAGTATGCTGTATTCTGGGAACCACGGTGCTTTCAGGGTTTAAACTTAAATGGAAGCACAGGCAATCCTAATTCAGTCCCCTTAACAGTAACTCTAACATCATTAAAGAACCAAGGGAGAGCAAAGTGATTGTCTCATCCCTTGGGAAACCAGGAAGAATGAATACAGGTTTTGGATCCCTGTTCTACCACTTACTAGTCATGTGATCTTGGGCAAGTTCCTTACTGAAAAGTATTTGTTTCCTTAACCATTAAATGGAAATAATAATTCTTGCTTCATAAAGTTAATTATGGGTATTAAATTGGATAGTGTATATAAACTCCAAACATACTGTAGGTACTCAAAAAATACTCTTCTTCCTTTCTCTCTGTTTATGATATAGACCTTATAGAACCCCATGATCTGTAATAAGAATTCCTTTAGATTCACGTTACATTTTTATATGTTTTACTAATAAAAATGTTTAACTTAATTTTAACAACCTTGTGAGGTAGAGAGAATTCCACTTTATAATGAGGTCAAAACTTATTATTGGCAGAGCTGGGACCCAAAATCCAGAAATCCTAACTTACAGTCTAATATTTCTCTGGGGATAACTGCTGCTTCACAAAGTACTAAAAAAAGAAACCCTTCTGCTGAACTAGTTTCTGAGAAGGCATCCTCAGGCCATGAATATAATGTAGGCATCAGAGGCTCAATAATTGAAAGAATGTAAGCATTTGACCTTAAGCAGTTTGGAGCTGGTGGTATCTGAGGGACACCGTACCTTGTGGAAAATCCTGATGGGAGCCATCTCTGCTCCATTGAGCGTCTTCAAAAGGAACATGGGCCAAGAGGAGGCATTCAGCCGAAATCCTGCAGCAAACATAATGGGCAACAAATAAAAAATAAGTCTCAAAGGGAACTGCTATATCAAGTTTTCCCTTTGGAATCCAGCTACTCCTGCCACAACCTATGCTGTGATACCTACAGAATCACAGACTGTTAGGAAAGGACTTAAAGGTTAAGTAGGAGAAATGCCTCATTAGACAGATGAGGAAATGAGGCACATAAGAGGGAATGTAACTTGCCCAAGGTAATGTTGCAAAGTAAGTAGTGGAGACAAGTCCCCAACCAAGTTTCCTGACACCAAGACAAGTATTATAGAACTTATATCATAAGGCCTGAAAAGCTTTCTTGAAAAATCCAAAATAGATGTGTGACAGGAATAACAAATACTTAAAAATGATCTAGACATTAGAGTGTGAAACGGGATATAATAATCTCTTAAGAAGAAATCAGAAATGTCTGATGAATCTAATATACCAATAAATCTTTTTGGTTTATCAATATAAACATACTCTCATTCTCTCTCACTCTCTCTCTTCTCTCTCTCTCTCTCCACACACACACACACACACACACACAACACACACACAGAGTACAAAATACTTTTTGATATTCATTTTCACTTAAACAACTAAGGATCAGGCATTGATGAAGAGACAAGGGATCATCTTATCCAAAAATATTCATTTTCCAAGAGTTAAAAAGAAGCCTACGGAGATTAATTATTCATTGTCATTTTGTAATCGTAAGTCAATAAGAATATACCATTTAATTAATAAATTGTTAAAATAAGATCAGTATCATATTTAAGACTTCCAATGAAAGCTCCAAGTGCTTCCTTCAATTTGGCTTCAACTCGTGATCTCGAGATACCAAAATCTAGTGCTTTTAATAGTCTCCCCACCTACCTCAGCTTTCCCATTCCTGACAAAGAACAGACAAGCTGCACCAAAGCTTCAGAGCTGCAAGCAGCAACAACAGCAGTGTCTGACGCTACTGAGTACTGCGCCACGTGCTAGATGATGTGCCAGATGCTTCCTGCTGACTAATTTAATCCTCAGGACAACCCAGTGAGGTAGAATTATCTTCATTTTACAGATGAGAAAAGAGGTATAAATTGCTAAAGATTTCAAGGTGAGCAAATGACAAAAATAGAATTGAAACCCAGGCAATCGGACTGTTGAGCTCACACTCTAAACCACTATGCTAAATTGTCAATGTGCGTGTAAAATGAAAAGGAAGAATCAGCTTTTGGGATTAAGCATTAATTATTAACTATAATTAAATTAAAGGGGAGGAGGTGAGAAGAGAGGAGACAATGGAAATAAGAAGAGAGGTACCATCCCATATGACTTAAACTTTTTGTCTCAAAGCTGGCTAGGCTAAGCCAAGTTTCCCAAGGTCAGGAGACTTCTTGGGACAGCTCGTTCACAGCAACAATGGAGATAACGTGTGGAAGTTCCTATCAAACTGCTACCACTCTCATTTTTGCTTGCCTAGCTTCTCTTCCTTTTGGGAAAAAACCCTCATACTCTAATTCTTTGTGATTCGGTGGGGATGTCTATCATTGGGTTCTCCTTACCTGGCCACGGAATGGAAAATAATGCCATTTAAGAGCATCTGATGCCCCTAGACTGGAAGTGTGTATATATGTTCCAAGTTGGGTCAACTGTTTTCTGAAATGTTGGAGAGAGTTTGTCTTCCTCTGAGATCATGGTTTTAAGGATGTTTGTAAAGTTGTAGATTTGGCTCTTCATGTCTGAAGAGCATAACTGAGAATAAAGCCAAGGTAGAGTAGGGGATGGGGAGAGACAGAGTATTTAAAACCCTGTGTCCAAAAAAATAAACAAGGACCTACTATATAGCACTGGGAACTATACTGAATATTTTTTAATACCCTATAACAGAAAAGAATCTGAAAAGGAATATATATATATATACATATATTTGAAAAATTTTATATATATATGTGTATGTATATATGTGCGTATACATATATATATATATCTGAATCACTTTGCTGTACATCAGAAACTAACACAACATTGTAAATCAACTATACTTCAGTTATAAAAACAAAACCCAAAGAAACCCTATGTCCAGGTACATTCAACACCAGGTCTTAAACTTCTTGATCATATGAGTCAGTAATTCCTGCCTCCTCCTTTTTCCCTCTTCTAACCTGGTGTTAGTTGGGGTTTTACACTCATAGCCAAAGGACTCTTGACTACTATTCTACCTCTGACCATGGTAAAAAAAAATTTAATGAATAAATTTCTTCAGAAATTCAGGTCTGGTTTATGTGTGGGGAAAACAACTCTCCTTAGGTCAGGGAAGGGCTGAAGCCAAACCTAGAGCAGATTTGCTGTGAATGATTCACTACCCGTATGCATAAGGCAAAGCAAGGCACAACTCTTCTAGAGATATGCTCTCTGCACCTTCGTAAAAGAGAGGAGTAGGGAGGAATGACTGCACAATTAGAAAATTCAGCAACAAGGTCCTACTGTATAGCACAGGGAGCTATATTCAATACCTTGTAATGGCCTATAATGAAAAATGATATGAAAAGGAATATATATGTATAAATAAATCACTATGCTGTATGCCAGAAATTAATACATTGTAAATTGACTATAATTTCAAAAAGAAAGAAAGAAAGAAAGAAAGTGGTAGCAGATTCATGTCCCCAGTTCCCAACAACTAGAGCACCTCACCATGTAATTCCCAATTCAATTTTTTAGGAGTGGGGTTACTGAGGGGCTTCTATCTCATTTGGTACTTGAACTAAAAAACTTTAATAGTTCTTTGCTGAAATATCACCTCCTCAGAGAGGCACTCCTAGACTGCCCCACCTAAAATAGTCTCCTAAATCCTGCTCCCTTCTTATTATCCTTAGCTTTTATCACTGCCTGAATGTTTTCTTTTTTCCATGTGATGTGTATGTCTTTTCCAACTAGAATATAAGCTTCATGAGAGTTTTACTGAACAAAGGAAAAATCTCCACTTGTTATATGGGTGCCAGGAATTGATAAATGCTTCATCATGTTATCCCATTTAATCCTCACAAAAACCATGTGTGGCAGAGTTGATTAATGATTTCGTAAGTGAAACAACTGAAATTCAAAGTTTAAAGTCAAGGTAGAGCAACTTACTGTTGGCCACACAACTAAACCAGTAAGTGGCTGGGCTACTTTTATAAAGCCAGGTCTCTAACTCTAATCCCTGGCATGCTGCAAATGTTCTGTGCTTATGTAGGGCTTCTTTAAAAAATATTTATAAAGAACCAGTTATAAAGAACATCCAGATGCTCCTAAGACTGTGGGACTACTGAATAAGTTAGGGTTCAGCTATTTAAACTAACAGTCACCTGAGGAAGCTCTGGATTGCAATGTAGATCAGCAGGTGTAGAATCTAATCATAGTTAATGCCCTCCGGTGGCAGGTAACTGAACAGCACTCATACCAGGAACCACATGTATGGGCCCAACTCCCTACTCCATTGTCTTATATAATAATTCTAAGCTTTTTGAAGTTATTAGACTCTATGGCTGTCAAGATGATTCCAAAATCATCTGCTCCTCTCGGAGGAGCTTTACATACACGTACATATACCTTATACAGATACGTGTACAGAAACATGCTACTAACACACTGTACAACCTTGGACAACTCATTTCCATTTCCCTGTTTCTGTATTTGTCAGAAGAAGACACTGAACTAAAGTAGTGCTTCCAAACTGAGGCTGGGTGAGTTATCTAAATTCCAACCCAAGAGTGAGAGAAATGAGAACTGGAACTGGAAGAGACATGCTGAACAAACTGTCCTCCCCGAGGAAGAAGTGAATGCTGAGCCTACTAGTATTTGCGGAGGGCTGTGAGGACTCCATTTGTTTTGCCAAGATTCTGTCACCACATTGCTGTTCCACTCCCACATACACATTTAAGCACAAGTTAATTTGGATTTATTTAATTGGGGGTGGGGGTTGTGACTAATTTTGAGATAGGTGTAGGTACAGATGGGTTTGGCATTACTCAATGTCAAGGGCCTTGCTGAGAGAAGAGTGAGTTCAACAAATATTTTTAAGATTATCTTTATAAAATGAGTATTTAAGATACCATGGTTAAAGTTCCTTCTTTCTAAAATCCCCCCACTCCACAAATTTCTATAAAGGGAACTCAAATTTCTGTAACCACAAAATGAGATACGGATCTTTTAAAATCCCTCTTTTCATTGACAGGCCCTGGAGGCTACTCAGCATATGAGAAGACTGATCAGTGCCAGGAACGTAAAAGGGTTCCTTCCAATTCAATGTCCCACAGAGACACCACATGTGACCAAGTTTGTCGAGTAGGCAGTTTGTACAGGGATCCTGACACAG